GTGGACTTCCCCTTCGTTGGTCTCTTTTTCTATTGGTCTTCGGACATGGTACCAGAAAGTCACCACAAGTATGTCTGACTCACACAATTGCCTCATGCATCACCGGCCAAACTGGCTGGTATGTTTTTAACAGCACCCGCCAATCTGAGTTTTATCCCGCATTTGGCGTTTGGGTTGGAGGGAAGTTGGCAGATTCCTGGAGGGACTAGTTAATCGATACCACTTACATTTCTTGTACAAGACTGCAAATGCTTCCCCCCCCCCCCCCCCATGCAGATTTTAGTGTAATTCTGTTAACTCTATTGCGTTGTCCACAATAAGACACGTTTAGAGTTGTGTCAATTATCTTTGTGAAACACATCATGATATATACAAATCTTGAGTCCTAGATCCACCATTAATATGACAAGTATACAATGTCAGCATCTCACTTCAACTTTACACTGCCATGTAGCTGCAGCTCATAAGTCCACAGGTTCTTCATTGAAATAATTTTGAACGCTGGTGACAGGTAATTTTGGCACCTTCTACTTTCAGTAGTCCTACGCTACCTATCACACCATCTCTTGTCCTACAGGAGGCAGACCTGAAGAACCTGAAAGACTACAAGCAGAGCATCATGAGCCTGTCTGATGGAGGGAAGCTCTACCGCGGAGAGCTTGAAATCATCCTCTGCAGGGAGCCAATTCAATGATTCCTGATCCTTTCTTCTTCTATATGATTATGTCTGCTCTGCCTGCCCTGCTCTCCCAATTAAGCACTCGCTTCCTGCTGCCTGGCAACAAAACACCAGGTGCATGTGCTGGACCTCCCATCTTCTCCTAAAGCTGCTTCCGAATAAATGACAAGTAAACCATTGGCACACGATAGCTCTTCTCCATTTACCCCTTGTTTTCTGCAACCTGACCTCTCGAACCTAATGTGATCTTTTCTGAACCATCCAGCAAGCCCTAATATTCACTTTGAAGTCGTTTGATGCCAAGACATGATTTGAATTGCAATATTTGTTTTTGGCCAATGCTGTTAACTGAAAATCCCAATAAAACTCTTCAACATGAATTCATATTTAATTATGTTTTTCTAGACAGACACTTGCTTAGTTTGCAGTCAGGGTTTGTTAGTACCCTCATTGTCATATTTATTACTTATACAGTGCCAGAGATTGTTCAGAACTGTATTGCACAAAAATACATGCACAAAATAAATGAAATAAAAATAAATAAAGGTTTTCTTATCTTATCTTAAAACAAGCACACAAGTGTCACAGTGGAGCTGCAGTAAACTTTCCCTGGAACATTTGGGCAATTTAGGAGGTTAGCCATATTCGGGGTGTTTTACCCTTCTGCATAATGCACAAAAGTACTGTTAATTAGAAATCTATTTCTAGTAGTTGATTTGTGTCAAAATACATACAACAAATACAATGAAATACAGACAGATGTTATTATTAACATGAACTAAATCTAACAAGAGAATTATTGTTTTGTTTTGTTTTTTTTGTTTGTTTTTGCTTTGAAGCTCAGGACATTATGAACCGTTGTTTCAGATTTCGAGGTGCTGAATACTTCGAATACATCCTCAACTTCACCAACACGCCTTCCTTAGAGGAAGCAGAGTCTGGGAACTCTGGAGTAGGCTATCCTATCCCTGAGGTTGAAGTCACCGAGGTGGTTAAAAAGCTCCTTGGTGGCAAATCCCCGAGGGTGGATGAGAGCCGCCCGGAGTTCCTCAAGGCTATGGATTCTGTGGGTCTGTCCTTCCGGAAGTCAAGTCTCAGATTCAGGAGGAGCAGTGTGGTTTTCGTCTTGACCATGGAACAGTGGACCAGCTCTACACCCTTAGCAGTGTCTTCGAGGGTGCACGGGAGTTCGCCCAACCAGTCTACATGTGCTTTGTGGCCTTGGAGAAGGCATTCGACCGTGTCCCTCGATGAGGTCTGTGGAGAGTGCTTTGGGAGTATTGGGGACTGCACCCCCTGACACAGTCTGTTCGGTCCCATACCACCAATGTCAGTTGAGGCATTGAGAGAGTCCGCTTTGGTGGCCTCAGTATTGCATCTCTGCTTTTTGTAGATGATGTGGTGCTGTTGGCTTCTTCAACCAGAGCTCTCCAACTCTCAATGGAGCAGTTCGCAGCCAAGTGTGAAGCAGTTGAGATGAAAATCAGCACCTCGAAATCTGAAACAACGGTCCTCAGTTGGAAAAGGATGCAGTGCCCTCCCAGGGTCGAGATGAGATCTTACCCCTAGTGGGTTCACGAGTAGGGCAGGATGGAGCGGGAGATCGACAGGCGGATCGGTGCAGCGTCTGCTGTGATGCGGACTTTGTATCAGTCTGTCGTGCTGAAGAAGCAGCTGCGCCCAAAGGCGACGCTCTCGATTTACCGGTCGATCTAGGTTCCTACCATCACCTACCATCACGAGCTATGGGTTTTGACGGAAAGGACGAGACTCCAGAGACAAGTGGCTGAAAGGAGTTTCCTCTGCGGGGTGTCTGGGCTATCCCTTAGAGATAATGTGAGAAGCTCGGTCATCCGGAAGGGGCTCAGAGTCAAACTGCTTCTCCTCCACGTGGAGAGGAGCCAGATGAGGCGGCTCGGGCATCTGATTAGTATGCCTCCCGGAAGCCTCTCTGATGACATGACCGAGGACACGCTGGGGAGACTATGTCTACCAGATGGCCTGAGAACACCTTGGGATCCCTCGGGAAGAGCTGGAAAAAGGAGCTGGGGAGAGGGAAGTCTGGGCTTCCCTGCTAAAGCGGTAGAGAATGGATGGATGGATAGATGGATGGACGAATGGATGGATGGATGAAGCTTTGATAAAACTAAGCAAAATTAACAAAGTTTAGGTGCCAAAAAAAGGGTCCTTGGCTGAGATGATGATCTATAGATGGCAGGATGCTGCATCAAATTTTTTTGTGTAATTGAGTTGACATGCTTTTAAAGTCTAAATTATACAGCAGGCATACGAGCTCCCATTTCACAGTGGAGCTGAGGCAAATCCACATCAATTAATCAGAAACATTTAAATCTTTATGTAACATACAGATGCAAAAGAAAAATGTCCATCACTGGAAATGTGATGAAAATTTAGCAGCTGGGATGAATTGTGTATTTTGTCAGTGACAATTCAATTTTAACCAGGTACAGGTACTGTAATCCTGAATACCAAATTACATAATTCCAACCAGCTCCTACATTTGATCAAATACCCAAATGTAACTCAAGAAAGTAAAAGAAAATGTAGCAATATTATCAAACCATATTCATTGGTAAACTTGCATGACCAAGCATCAACAGTCAAATGCAGTGATGCATTTACATTCCCTCAAATCTAAACCGATCAAGTGATCATCATCAGAAAGCACTGGAGATTTTGTGACAACTTTGCCGAAGCCAATGCGTTGAAGCAAACTCTGAATATAGACATTGCATTATTTATTCACTGATGATAAGCACCCTGTTAATTTATTTGAGGGTTATTGTGAAGTATGCATTAAATACATGACTGAAAATGCCTGCGCCAATTTTGTGGACTGAAATTGTAACACAAAAGCACACATGCAAATGTTGAGACTTTAAAAAGAACCTTTTGATTCAACAGTAAATTTAGTCATGACCTAAAGAATTTTACACATCACTAATTGTCAGACATTCACTCGTGAATTAAGAAACTTATAGAGAAAATGTAAAATGTCTAAATGTAAAGTATGTTTGAAGGCCAAATTTCCTTTAAATAGAAATTGGAATTCCAGGAATCTCTGCAGTTTAAGTTCAAGATAATTTATTGAAAATGTCTAAAAGCTTCACGAGTGATATTCATTGGTTTTGAGTTGATGGCTCGAGAGAGAAATACAGTAAGTCCGTACTGTATGTGTAATGCGTTTATGTAGTGACACCTAGTGGGGGTAATTACACATTGACAGTGAGTCTCTTTTTTGCCGTGGAACGTGAGGTTTTTCGATAGGAGACGAACAGATGAAAACATTTTTATGATTACTACGTAGCAATAATGTGTAATCATTTATTTAATTAATTAACGGCAGCTGGATGCAGTGAATGCAGCCGCCACTTGGGGCATCACATTGGTTTTTTTTTTTTGTTTTTTTTAAATTAAAAAAGTCTTCGACGAAAACGCCCAGTTATCAATTACAAAGCTGCTACAGTTCAAGAGTTTTGAGTATGTTTTTTTAAGCTTTATTTTAAAGGGACAAAAATAAATAGTTAAAAAAAAAAGACACAACAATGAGAAGAGTGTGGTAACAAGCCTGCCAAATTTTAATGATTAAAAATATTGCCAAGTACAAAACATCCACCCATCCATGATCTGAACCGGTTATCCTCACGAGGGTCGCGGGCGTGCTGTAGCCAATCTCAGCTCCCTTCGGGCAGTAGGTGAGGTACACCCTGAACTGGTTGCCAGCCAATCGCAGGGCACACAAACAAGCAACCATTCACACTCACAATCGTACGTAGGGACAACTTAGAGTGTTCTATTAAGCTACCATGCATGTTTTTGGAATGTGGGAGGAAACTGGGGTACCCGGAGAAACCCACGCAGACGCAGAGAGAGCCTCCAAACTCCACACAAAAAGGCCGGAGCCCGGAAAAGAACCCTTCATCTCTGCACTGTGAGGTGGACGTGCTAACCAGTCAACCACCATTAAAAAAATGCTTTTTGTGTTTATTTGTTTGTGTCTTTGACTAATATTTGAATGTGTTTGATAATGGCAAGCATTGAAGTGTGACAAACCTGAAAAAAAGGAAGGAATCAGGAAGGGGGCAAACACATTTACATAGCACTGTCCCATTAGCAAATGTTTTTAAACTGCCATATGTCCGGTTTGTAAATGTTATGTAAATGCGGGTCTGATGGCAAAGTAACTTTTCAGACAAAGAAAGGTCTGGCAATCAGGTTATGTTTAGCTTCCTAAATTGTCAACAAGATCTCAACTAACTAGTTTGCCCAGAAGTGTGTACGGGAACTCGTCTTGTCATTTGTTTGTGTGAGTATGTGTTTGAAGAGCTTGAAGCAAGGGAGTGTGCCTTGTCTCAAAGAATGAGGAAGAAGTGTGGATAAGATCTCAGCTTTTTTCTTTAAGAAGAAAAAAGGCTCAATTCGTCACAAAAAAAGATGTACGATGCGGTGGCAGCCAAGCAGGGTGAAGGAGCGACATCCCTAAAATAATCTTCCTTTCTGGTGAATAAAGTAAGTCTTTTTTTTAACTTTCATTTTGTTTTGTTTTTATTTATTCAGCTCATTGTATGTATAATGTCAACTTATTTATGTTGATTTGGACTTGCTATTTGCTTTAAAGTGGTTCTGATCTAGTCTGACAACTTGACTCCACTCAGCATACTGTACTGTATTCGTATTGGTGCTATTGGAAGTTAACTTGTGTAACCTATTACAATTTCGGACAGTCAAATGAGCATTAAGAATACCAAGATTGACATTTTGTATTGACCAGCGGCTTTAAAGGCTTTGTGTGTTGTGATTTTTTTTTTTTTTTATGTATATTGCTGGTGATACATAATAAATTTTAAAAAATGTATGTATCATTAAACTTGAGGAGCTAAACATTTGTATGGAGTTTTGTCCATTGGTTTCCTCCTTATGTAAAGTCAACAAATGCATCGGCCTCACCCGGTAACCGGACTGAATTTTGTCGCTAAAACCACATTCCTTTCTATTCGCCAGACTATTCTTCAAGACAATCAGGAAAGAAAGTTTATAAGAAGGAAATGGTCTTGTTGACCACATTTGAGTAGTTTTCACGTAATTTGATGACTGCCACATATAAATGAAAATCCAATTAAATGTACAGTAGCAGTGAGGAACTGGTGGTTAGCATAGTTCTGTGGTTAGGTGTGCTTGTGTGGGTCTTCCGGGGCTACTCTGTCTTCCTCCCATATTCCAGTAGCATGGAAGAGTGGCTTCCTGACGACTCTAAATGGGCAAAAACAGCACGTTTTTCTAATATTGGCTCAGATATGATGGCACAATGGTATAAAAACTGTACATCCTAAAAAAAATGAAAGTAAAAACTGAGTAACTTGAAATACTTCACGATTCAAATGTAATTAAACACTAACATTAGCCCAGGAGGCTAGATCACAGTTTCTTGACAGACATCGTTGAAGCGTGTCAGATGTTGAATTAAGGGTGACTGTAACAGACACTGGGGAAATGGAGTTCACACTGGATGACAGAAATGAAGGCAAGCCAAAACTGGAGCAAGCTACCCCTACGGTTCAATCTGACAATTTTAAACACACATTTTAAAATGTATCCTAGTAGGTGTGTACTGTACAAGGCAGAAATGTAATACATTGTGTTTTCCAGAAGAGAGAACATCCTGTAACAACTGTAGTGCACATTTTTTCAAGTTAAGTTCTACTTTTCTGCTTAGTGTCAGGTCTGGTTAATTGTTCCAACACCATTTGCTCTGACAATGAGCCTTGACACATAATCTTGCGTTTTCCTGGTCTGTAGCCCAGAAAATGATGGTGCTTCCATTGAACTATTTCACCTCTGGGAGGTTTCTGTCATCTGCTGCAGCCTTGAGGTTCCCCTTCTCAGATGCAGTTAAATACAGCATCCTTGGCTTGTCAGTTGCTCTTCTTCTGGTGGCACTGGGTATCTTGGCCTGGCAGGCCATTAAATGCTTCAAACGGCCCTCCGCTACACCCCCTCGACCTCGAGCAGGTGAGCACGTGCATTAGATTAATACCAAACACTATCTGACATATATAAAAAAAAAAAAAAAAAAACATTCGCCAAAAAAAAAAAAAAAATTATGTTTGATCTTTCCTGTAGTGAATGGTGAGTTGCTGCAAACAGATGACGTATCTGAAATTACAGAACAGTACAAAGGAATTCCAACTATCAAGGTGAGAAATCCCGGTAAAAGAAAATGTCATTTGAGTTGACCTTATTGGAATGGAACTTTTATGGTTCATATACAGTGTAATAGTGTACAGTACTTGTCATATGTATAAACGAAAAGTGACCTTGCGGCTTTCTGCGGACCTTTTCAACCGTAGTAATAGGAGGCAGATATAAGACTTAAGTGGTTGTTTGATTTGACACTTCATTGGTCAGGAGGCACCCCAGAAACCCAACCATTTGTACAGTATATAAGTAATTATATAAAGAATTCATTCCACAATATGACCGCCGGCTCGTGTATTAAGGCAAGGCAGATTTGTTTGTATAGCACATGTACAACGCATGTCAAAGTGCTTTGTTTACAAAACACACGAAAAGCATTCCAAAAAGAGGGAAAAAAATATTAAGACAATGCAAAATTCATCAGAAAATCATCTAAAATAATTTGACAAGAAATAAGAGTCACAAAAACAAAAGTCAAGGTTTATTATGGGAATCGATCCTGACCCTAAAATGGCAAGACTGATGTTCTACCGCTTGAGCTATGCAGGTACAGGCACATATACCTGTACATGTACATGTACAGAAGTTGTTTCTGCTTCTAATATGCCAAACTTTTAAGCAGTTGTTCTATGACATAGATATATAATCGATGTAATTGAAATTCAGGGTTGGAGGCATGAAGCTTCATTTCCCAATAATTACCGCATTTTTCCTTTTGCGTGTTTGACCATTGCTGTACTTAATTTGTCAAGCCGTCAAATTACCGGTACAAGACTAATAGCTGAAATTCTGATTACCAGTCAAAAAACAATAACGGATTGGAGGAAGCCCTGAAAAAAAAAAAAAAAGGGCAACCAGCTCTATTAAGTGAGGCAAAGCCGGCAAGCAGGGACAGCATGTTGCTGGGGATGTGCCAGGAGTTGGCGATAGCTGGGGATCAGCTGGTCCTGCTGGTGTCACCAGCTACCAGCAGGTCAACGACAAATTTTATTTTGTACCCAAAACATTCTTTGAAAAATGCTGATCAAAATTGAATGCACATTTGTTTCCCCCCCAAGCATACAGTGCATACCTACCCCACGAATGAATTGGCTTAGTGTTAAATGGACATGCCTGTTTGAAATGGGCCTGCTTACCAGTTATTTTGGAATGAACTCATCTGAATTTTTCTACAAAGTGGTTTCTATTCACTTTTTTCATTGACATTACTATGAATTAATTTTAACTAGTACAGTATGAATCTCAAATTTATGAACTTGAATTTATAAGTCATTTGTTTGGTTTTTTTTCTACTTTCAGTACAGCTTTATTTTTGAAAACTGAAAGAAAATAAATTTACACGTGTGTGTATAAATTAGTATACACTGCTGGGGTAACCTGCAGTTTAGGCAGACAAAAGCCGAGAATTTTGGTACCTCACTTCATACTTGCAGCAGGTACAGCATATGCTGTGGGCACGAAATGTCTATTATGAGATCACACGAGAAGACGCGCTCACTTCCTACAGAAAATACCAAACGTATACTAATGTAACTTGTTTATTTGCATTTGAGTTGACCCCCTCCGTTTAGCTGTTATTTGTATCAATGTTGACAAAAGACATACAGTATTTTATAAACTCACCTGATTATGACACTGAAGTTTAGCGCACTGTAGGTTTTGGCTCGGAGCAAGGGGGAACACCAAAGCTCCTCAAACACGGCACATTGCTGATTTATCCATGCCATGTTACTACCTTTGCACATTATCATCTGAGTGTTGCCCTGAGGCGACGCTTCATTTAGTTTAACAAAGTTAACTCACACTCGTGATGGGCACCGGGTGCCCTCGCGCATCGCACAAGACCCGATGCCCAAGTATATCTGACTTACACAATTGCCTCATGTATTACTGGCCAAAGTGGCTGATAAGTTTTTATCAGCACCCGCCAAAATGAATTTTGATCCACATTTGGCAGGTGTTAATTTCAACCATTGCAGGTCACCCACAATGCCAATGAGGTCAAACAAACAATGTATGGCAAATGGATGGAATGAGTTTGTAATTTGTTATTATTTTGTGTGTGTGTTTGCCTAGAAGGAGTGGTACTGATTCATTTGACAGGCACCATTTACGTGAACAGGAACGTTCATGAGAATTCTGGAAGTGTTCAAACAAATGTGCAAACTTTGCAGGTCGAAGATGTCGATACAGACATCTTGGAATCCACACAGGAAGCAGGAGAGGTTAAAGTTTGTATCAAACTTTTCTTACGTCTTCTTTGTGTCTCAACTCACCAGACCACTTGACACTCATTGGGTTCATAGGCAGTACATCCTTAGTGTGCCCTGTGTATGGCAGTCCTGTTGGGAAAAGCTGTTTGACATTCTGGTAGCCTTATTATTATCATGACAACATAACATTTTCATTTGGTCTAAATAACACAAGCGATGAAAACAGCACTGGACTTATTTACTGTCTTACCTTCTGTGGCCCACAGATGATTGAAGGATCGCTCCACTATTCTCTATATTATGACGCGGAGCAGCACCATCTTGTGGTTACTATCTTGGAGGTCGAGGGGCTTCAGCAGCCACGGCAAATCAGCAGCCTCCAGCTGTTTGTCCAACTGAAGCTTCTATGGACCGGATCCCAGATGGATGGGCCTTACATTGAGGAAGTGGTAGATCCTTGTCTATTACATTATTATTATTATTATTATTATTATTATTATTATTATTATTATTATTATTATTATTATCTTTAATATTTTGAATATTATTATCTTTAATATGAAATTAAATTGGCACCTGCCACCAATTCAAATTTCTTTCATTTAAGAAATAAACGTACGATACACACCGATGACGTGGATTTCCTTCAACCTTTGTGTGTTTATGAAACACTGATTTTGGGGGATTTCTATCTTGATTGTGTATTTTCTCTAAGTGTTTTATATTAAGATAGTTAAGTCCAAAGTTATCCAAGCTTAAATGTGCATAAGTAGATACTCATTTGTTGAATTGCTATCCTGTGGCTGCCAATGGCATAGAAGACCATAAGTTTTACATAATATTTGTAAAATGTACATAATTTGCATTGGTTTATTTTTACATTATGAAAATGATTCTTATGCCTGATCGGAGACAAATTTGAGGAAATCTTTTGCATGATTGTCAGAGATCCTGGCAACATCTACAATAATCTCAAGTGAATTTCATGTACCATTTTGAAGTTTATGGATTGGCTATGACTAATTTTGAATGTGGAACTTTTTATGAAATCAACACCTCTTAAAACAACCTCTTACAGTCTTGAACCATTCTCATGTCATTTTTGTTTTAGCAAAAAGATATCCAAGAACCTGTTCATCCATGTTCATCCACTCCATAGTAACCTACTATCACTGATTCTGTTAGGATGAAGGGAAACCACTTACCCTACGCACAGTGCTGCAGGACTGGCGGACTCGTATTGTAAAAGGCACCTGTAACCCCTTGTTTGGAGACCAGTTCACCTGTCTTCTCCATGACGAAAAGGAGCTAGATCACATCGACCTCAGAATGGAGGTTCTCTAACATACAGTACAAATATAATTTCACATTGTCACTATGATGAAATGATACATATTATTTCTTCTTTCTGACATACTATTGTTGTATCACCATGCTTTGATGATTTTTAAGAAAGATGATCGCCTCGGACAATCTATCGTCTGTATAGAGTAAAGGCAATAATATAAAAATCCAAACCCTCATATGTATGACTACACTTATTCCATAATATGTCTGACCACCATTTAATAACACCCCCATTTGTTTCTTTCTGTCAGGTGAGAGACTTTGATAAATTCTCCAGACACACAACATTGGGAGAGGTTAGGGTGCCTTTAAGACATCTCAATATCTCCTACCCTCTGGAGCTAAAAGGAAAGCTCAAAACTCCCCAAAAGGTAAAAATAAGCCTCACTCAAACAGACTGATACAGGTGAAACTGTCACATAGGCCTACTTGCATACACACATTTGCATGCACTCAAATTTGTGTGCGTGTGTGTGTGTGTGTGTGTGTGTGTGTGTGTGTGTGTGTGTGTGTGTGTGTGTGTGTG